GGGGGCAGCTGGCAGGCGAGCGGCCGAGGGAGGTCAGCCCGCGGTCAGGGGGGCAGGATGAAGCTTGCCAGCTAAGCAGTTTTTGTTCTCGGTACGAAAAGAAAATAGTTTCGTTCAAACGCTTTGAACAGTTTGGCACGTACTTCCTCTTTGCTCCTCTGAGAAGAGCTTTCCAGTACCGCTGGGATGTGGCACCAGGCTGAACAAACACCAGTTCTGGGCCTCGCGCGGGGGCCGTACGCAGGCAGGGCGATCAAAAGCCAGTGGAACTTTTTATCTGCTACCAAGTTGAAAGAAACAAAGACAGTATTTTGAAGCGCTTAATAGTAAAATTTTCCTAAAAGTTGGCAACCCTTCACGTGAGGGGTAGAACGAATAATAAGGACTGACAATCCCACTCTTCATGTGACCCATCCCTGAGCACAATTGTTCTGCTCGTCATTTGTGCAAAAAATGAACATCGATCGCACCAGCGCAGCGCAAGGTGATAACTGCTGCCTACGCAGAAATACGCTGAAGGTGCGGTCCGTAAGATGAAAGGCAAAAAGCTACAGTTTGTATTACTTTGGTTATTGATGCAATTTTTCAAAACTCCTTGGAGAAGTCTTACGTACAATGCGTTGGTCAGATCAGCAAGTCTGTGGTCTCACGTACCTGCTCACTGACACACTGGTTATGTTCTGTAGGCATAAGGACAGAGATAAAACACATATGGCTGAAAAGCAAGCACACACACACCTGTGGTGAAGCTCAGTTGCAAGCACATATGTCCATGCCATGCTTTCCTGACATGGCTATTTATAGTGCGGAAATCACATATGTGCAATTACATATGCAAAGATTACATTAAACATTTGTCTCTCCTTACATCTCCTTAACTTTGATATCTGCTGACTTTTTCTCTCAGTGTTTTTCTGCTTTTTTTCTAAGAATAATCTTAAGTTAGAAAAAGGAAGAAGTGACCAAGGAAACTGTGAGATGAGTTTATCACAAAGAAATGTCACTTTGCCTCAACTGGAAGAACCTCCTTCAAAATCTGCGATGAGTATCAGTGTTCACACCTTAGACAGAGGATGGCCCCACATGGAGATAAATTCCACATGAATTATTCCATATGGCCTTACCAAAAAAAAAGAGCATTTCTCACAGGAGAGCAGGATGTGGTATAAAATTAATATAGTCATCCAACAAGCACATCCTGGTGGTCTTAGTACAGATGTGGAAGCCAGTCATTCCTGAGCTCTAGTCCAAGTTTTAAAACTAAGTGATCTTTGCTGGCTTGACACAGCTCTCATCTCACCTTCAGAAACGCAGAGGACACCTGAGTTTCTACAGTTCCTCTTGGAGTTAAGTAGCTTTCAGTGAGTGAAAATCCTACCAATGTTTCTCCTTTTGTGCTTCTTGTTTGCAAAGTGAAACTGATAACAGCACCTGCGCTTTCCTTCAAAAAGTTTAATGTCCTCGCTAAGGGAAAATGAACATTTATTGCCTCTTAGTGAAGGAAAGAGTTAAAAGCAAAGAAGTCAAGAACAAAACATAGAAACAATATTGGTGCCTACTTTTTGAAAAGCTAATTAACACCTACCAGTGAAGTATAACCAAAAAAACATATGCCGTAAGCAGTAGAAGCAGATAAAGAAAATCATAGTCATGCAGCAGAGAAGATAACAAACAGCCAAGCTTGTGCAAGGGTGGCATAATGAGTCTTTGCCTTCCAGGCCAGCAGTGAGATGCACCTAAAACCTGGATTATAACAATAATGGGTGAATGAATGAAGAGTAAAAGCTGTTTTCTGGTGTCTGCCCACAGCAGTACCACCTTCCTAACCCGGGGCGTCCCTCACCAGAGGCCAGGACTGCTTCAGGAC